TCAGGAACGGCTCACGACTCTGTTGCCTCCTCTACAAACACCCAGTAATTCCAAATTTACAGTTATCACAGGAGAAAAGCTGTGGATAGTGAATTGAGGCAAATTGCTTCATTGTATGAAAGTTTGCATCGGAGGCAGCACAAAAAGTTAGAAAATGTAAATCTCGTGCTCTCAAATTTCCCCGTGTTTTCACAGAACTGCATCTGTGACTGTGCAGCACTACAAAAATTTCCTCCGAATGTGCTAATAGGCCTTATGAGAATGTTCTATCACCATCCATCTGTCACTTTTTAACAGGCCTGATTGGCAAGCACTTGTAACAACTGACATCTGTTCTCGCTTATTGATATGTAGATTTATGGTAATTGCTGTGAACAATAAGACACAAAATTACCTAAGGTGAACATTAAATTAAATTTTCATGCCCCTATCCTTATAAATAATTTTTTTTTTTTTAAATCTTAAGTTTCAAGCAAGGCATACTGTGCATCTGTTTTGTATATAATTTAATTGTTTTTTTTTAATCTGCCAAATAACAAAATGAAAGTTGAATTTCCCTGCAATCTTGAATATTTGCCAAGCTGATAGCACATTGGTAAATACATGCTATTAAAAAATGGAATCAAACTGTATTGTGATTCTGGTTTTTTTAATCATTTCCTTTTAATTCCCAACATTGTCTCCATCATAAAGATCAAGAGTTATTCCTTACACAGAAGTTATTTTTTCCCCTACAGGGGAATTTTCATTTTTCATGTGCAGCTCTGCCTGTGAGGCTGTTCTTCAGTGTTAAGCCATTTACATTTCTTCAGAGAGAGGTGCATTTGCTGAGTGAGCAGCACTTTCAAATAAAAACGATCTACTCATTTGTGGTCCAGCTCTGTTGCGGGATTTGGGATTGTTTTGAAGAAGCTGTAGGATGTGAAATGTGTGAAGACAGTGTGTGAAAGGGGAGAGAATGAGAGAGCAGATTGGTCCCACAGAACTATACCTTGGCTGAAGTTCAATTGAACCAAAAATCGCCATTTGAAAGCAAAGTACTTTTTGGGTCTAGGACTTGAGAGCATTTGGTTTCCCTCCTCCAAGTTTGTCCTAGCAAGTGGGATGTTGACACACTTGACAAGTTGACAGGACAAACCAATAAAGAGGGCGCAGAGATGATGGTAAAATGCCTGGGGAGTGTGAAACAGTGATGACGGGATTTATTTTTTGTTTGAGCAGACAAAGGATCCCAAAGAGGATGCATATTAAGTGATAAACCTGTTGACACAATCAGCTCTAGACCTTGCTGGGTGACGGTGTGTGCCATGAGCCCTTGCTGACAGTCACACTTGGGTGCTCAGTTCAGTGGTGCTCTTTGCTGTCCTTCTCTTACGCCTGTGTGACAACAGCAAGCAGTCTTTTTTTCCTGAAGGCTCTGAAGCTGACACCCTATAACATCTGCAGAGCTGGTTTGTGGCCAGTGTCATTTAGTCACCTCTATGTTGGGTGGGGAGACGACTTCGTCACTGCCTAACTCTTGTTTCTTGATCTTTTTTTGACATTGAAACTCTTTTTCAAGTTGATGGGTTCCTCTTGTGCTTCCACAAGAAACATCCCATTAAAATAATGTTTTTGTGGGATGAGGCAATGCTGGTGTTTGTTTTGCATCCACATAGGCATGATGATGGTTCACGAGCCCAGAGAGAGCAGTTGTTCCACTGCCTGTTGACCTTGTTTTTGCCTGCTGTACTTTTCTAACGCTGTACGGTGCGTGTATGCTGCCTTCCAGCCCTATATGCTCCATAGTCTTCTGAAGCCTTGCATGCATAGGCAAAGCCATGCACATAAAATGCAATAGAAACAGCAGTATTCAATTGCTTCAAAACCCGCTTGCTTCTAAACTGAGGTTGGAGAAAAGTCCATGCATTTTCCAGAAGAAAATGTGAGATTTCATGTGAGATTTCATCTAGTTGAAGTTATTTTGCAGTTTCTCCTCTAGGACCATTCTGTATTTGTTTACTGTTATTTAATCCTACCATGTGGGCTGTTTAAAAGTCCAAAGTAGAAACCTCCCCACAGAAGAAATATAAGCTGATTATGACTGATCCTTCTGATGAATAACTAACCAGTGGGTGACAGAAAACCATGCTGCCATGGTGGAGAGCAACCTACTGCTTTCCCAAATCTCTTCATAAAACGGCATGAAATACGATCTCAGAGAAGACCAGCAATGTTTGCTGGACATTCTTTGATGACTTACATATACCTTTTATGGAAGAGGAAGGTGAATTATTTTTGTTAACCACATATCAATCCAGGATGAAAATGGATTCCATCTCTCATTTTGAGAACCACTGTCTGCTTTGTTAGCGAAGAGACAGACCTTAGCTTAAGTCTTCTTCACAGCTAAAATCCTGTTTGAAATAATCTGCAGAATCTTGCTATCAAAGAAATAGGATTTTTTAAATAAAAAAAAAAATTATTTACACCCAAGGCAAGCAAGTAGGTCAATTTAGTAATTTAAAAAAACCCCAGAACTTAGAAATTATCCTTTCTGAATTTCTGTCTGAATTGTGCTTTTTGACTGAAAAGTTGTGAAGTTAAACCAGAGATCAGATTTGAAAACAGTTATGAATATCCTTAGTATCTCTGGTTTCAGAAGTTTATTTATTAATATGATGTTGCTTCCAAAAGTTAGTTTTAGACTGATTGTAAAAATAAAAGGTTTTTAAAATATTCGTTCAACTTTTCCTGATTTAGAAGGTTCAAGATTTTTTGTTCAAGTTTTGAGGTGTTTCAAGCAGTGTTACTCTACTAACTTGGGTATCCAATATCTAATTCTTTAGTATTTATTAAATATCCATGTGATTAAGGTACAGTTTTGCCATTTCAGAGTTATCTCTGTATTTTAAGGACATAAACTTTGTGAGAGCTGGTTTGGAAGACTGACCAAATTGCAACAATGACCTGTCATCACTTTATTTAGTAGTTACACCTAATTGTCTAGGTTAATAATGACTTGTGACTTGAGTAGCTTTATTACACCTTGCAAAATAGTTTGGGTTGGTAGGGTTTGAGAAAAGCCTTATTTTTTAAAATGGTCATTAGCCTCCAAAAGAAACCTGAAAGAACTATTTTTGACAGGTAATTCCTCCACATATATTGTGGTAGATCTTGAATCAACTAAAAGCTTACTCCTAACATTGTCATTGTGTCACATTTTCAAAAGCACCAACATGTGAGCTGACTTTGGGCATTCGACTGAGGCACGGAAGTTAGAACTTCAGCCAAGCTAGGTGCTCACCTGACACCTGACCTGCCTTTGGAACACGCTGTATTTAAATTTGCGGGTTTGTTCACAAATAGATGCTCATATTTAGGTTTACCTCACAGTTCCTAGTGCTGGGACAGTAAGAATACCTCTCTATGGAGCAACCAGAGTCTGCAACATATGCATTTGAAAGTAATATCACTCTCCATTATTGCAGGAATTCTCAGTTCCTAGAAATTATCTCTCCTTTTCTTCCCAAACATTCTTCCAGAGTATTATGTTTAACAATTTTTTTTTTCATCTTCTCCAAGTTATTATTAAGCTTCCCGGGTTTGTGAAACAAATTTTGCAGGGAGAAATAATGCCTCTTGTTAGACTAACGTTCAGAAAAAAAATTGGATGAGTTTCCAGGCACTCAAACTCTTCTTTGGGTATTCCCCAAAACTTATGCAGTCTTCCCAGCTCTATCTCTTGGTCTAAAAAAGGTACTGCTCTTCCTATAACCTGACCTTTTGTGTATATTTATTTTATCAGGACTACAAGAACATAATTAAACTCTTTTAGTATTTTGGTTTTACGCACTTTGTTAGTTCTAGTGAGGGCTCAAGCAGCATGCACAGATTTCCCTCATGTGTCCAAACCAAAAAGGATGATCTCTCACTGGCATCCAAACAGTCTCTCTCACGTCCACGTGTAGACATCCAGTCTGAACATCACCCCTATGGAGAGTGATATCTTATTCAGAGGATCCTGAGAGGGATCCAGTCAGGTTAATGCTTGCACCTAGCTTGTGTGTCTGCATTGTAGTCTCTTACTGAAGCAGTTCACCTTAGAGTAAGTACCTAAGAGCTTTGTCTAGTCCAAGGTAAATGGTAGGTACTTTTGAAGGCCTCTGGAGAGGCAGACTCCTGACCCTCTGATTTAAGTCAAATGAATGCCATTTGCTCTTCCTTAATAATCTTTTTTTCAATTTCACATAAATTCTATTTATTGTTTGTCCTTTTTTACTTGCCATCTAAATTAAAGCCTTTGCTATTTAAGTGAATCCATTTCTTGAAGGTCCTCATTGAAATGCAGAAATATCTCCCCCACATCTTCTAAAATAATGAAGTGACACATGACTGAGTAGACGTGATATCACAGTTCAGAGCTTATGGCCTGAAAATCCCTACCTCAATGATGGCTCTGTGATCAGACTGATACTCATTTGATGTTCTTAGTTCATACGCATTTTTAGAAATGAACCATCAAAAAGAAGATCAGCACAATTATTGGCGGCTGCATAGTGTAGCCTTAGTAGATACATTCAGAGGAGACATGGGAAACAAATTGTATTCATCCCAATTATATGACCTGAATGTGTTTTAAACGTTAGTTATCTTCTATGCACCCCCTGTTGTGTCAGGAAATAGTATTGCGCCTGGGCTTCATGCAGAGTTTAAATGACTTTTAATTCTACGTTTCCCTTATAGAAGAGGCACAAACCAGGTTTTGTTTTCCTAAACTATAGGCTGGTGCCTTTGCTGTATTCTCTCAACTCCAAGGTACAGAGGTGAGAGGTGCTATTCAGGGACTGTAAGATGTCTTAGGTAAGATCCCAGATTATAGATGTCTTGGGAATTAAAAGAATTTAATCTCTTGGCAAGGTACATCCAAAGTTCCATGTCCATTGAAACTAGCTTTTTTTTTTTTGCCTTTTTTTTTTTAAATGGCATCTCTTAATTAACCCTATTGCTTCTCCCCACAGGCATGAACGCTTTACAATTACAGAATTTGGCAACTTTAGCAGCTGCAGCAGCCGCCGCCCAAACCTCAGCTACCACCACCAATGCAAATCCTCTCTCCACAACGACTGGTGCTCTGGGAGCCCTCACAAGTCCTGGTAAGAGCAGACTCCTCATTTTCAAAATTAAAAAATGAGAACAAATGGGAAGATGATTGTTAAACAGTGAGTCCATGTTGTGTCCGAGTTCTGTGCTCACAGAATTTCTAGAGACCCCTTTAAGAGCTGAATATATTTTTATTGCTGTTATTTTTAAGTGGTCAAATGGTTCCTTTCATAATAATTTCCATTTCATAATAATTACATAATTTTTCAAATGGTCCAATGTGGACAAGTTCACCTTTCCAGACTCATTTCAGGGGCCATTAAAGCCTAACAGACCCATCTTACAAAACTCTACATTAAAATTACAATTGCATGGGAAACTTAAGCTAAATTACGCTTTTCAGAAAGAATTCAGAACACAAGCCAATCCTTCCCATCCTCCAGAAAGATCAACCAAGGTGGTTCTTTTTAATCCCTGAGAGACAGATCTTTGATTCCCAGCCCATCATGCACGTATTGCCTCACACATCATGAATTTTTGTGAAGACCTTCTCTGTATTTTCCCTTCTCTTTTCCTTGCTCTAGCCTCAGTTGAGCTTTCTTCTGGTCCCAACTGAGAATACAATTACAGAAGTCATATCAGATGCACAAGGAGCACAGATTCTGACTTTGTTACACTAAGCAGAAGACAGATTTATGGTGGAATAAGGGACAAGATAAGAGATGGTGGTGCCTTCATGACCACCATGTAGACTTTCAGCCATTTATGTCCGATGTCTGCAAAATCCTAGAGAGAAATCAGGGCAAATCCAGAGTTCAGCTGCACTCCAGCCTCTCCAGAATCCACAGAGAGAGATGTTGATTCAGTGTAGTTACTCTGGGTTTACAGTGATGTAGCCGAGTCAAGAATCTGGATGCTTGTCTTTACATAAAGGCTGCAGGGTGTAATTATTTGCATCATGAAGTGTGTTTATTGCTGTTCTAAAAAACGTTCATATTCTTTTAGACACCACTAAAGAACATTTGTGTTTAATCTTGTTTAAGTGTGTATTTATTCCCCATGAAAAGTAATTCATGGCAGACAGTTTGAACTCATCAGTAAGGAAAACAGTCTTCACTACACAATAGAACTGGGACCGAGTGTGGTGCCGGGTGTTAAAGCTGGCCAACACTTCCTGTTATATTACAGTTTTATTGCTTATTTGGAGGAGAGGTTAAATGGAAGGCAGCTTGGCTAAATACAAAGTTTGTACAGCATTTTCCTGTTTCTGGTGTGAACCTCCTCTTGACCTAAAAATAATATTCATTCGCAACACCTCTGAGTAGCAGGTTGGGTGGAAATAATTCTGGTTTGCTGATATCTTTTTTTTTTTAAACCTGAGCAATCTCTTCCCTCCATCCTGGAGCTGGGGCTTAATGCTTTGCAAAAGGCTAGTCTCAGTGTCAGTGCGCCTGTGCTACCCCTGTCTAAATGTCATCCATTTATAGAAGCGGAAATGTTGCATTTCATGCATGCTCTATAATATCTCTGCAGTTTAGCTGTTAAATGTCTGAGTAGCCTGTCCTCCCAAAGTGTGCTAAGCATTTCTTGAGCCATACTGACAAGACTTCTCAAGAGAACTCAGAGTACTGCACTGCAGTGCAGAGGGCCTGGAAATGAACTTATCACTGCTGCTCTGCAGAAAAGTGGCACCAGAACCTCAGGAAGCAGCATGTTTCTGTCGTGCTCTTTGTCTTGCCGTGTTAGTACAGGACTCAGATTCATCCTTAAGGTCCACATTTTCCTCACTCCATCTCAAATGCAATCTTATTATCTAGCCTGGCTGACTTGCTGTTCCCTCTTTTAACCGGTTCTCAAAGCTCCTTGAGCACCTGGAAGGTGGTTTCATCAGATGCCCAAGTCTGCAGAGGCACGTGATTAGAAAGATGCTTCAGCTGGGCTGGGCAGGTACTTCTTTGCAATAACTAGAGCTTAGTATTGCCCAGGATGGTGTCATAGAGCATATCCAAGGTTTTTCCAAAGAGATTAGTGATTTTGGCTAACACACTGAAGATGTGTTATTTCCAAAAAAGTATGGACATTTAGTATTTGAAACAGTGTACTCAGAATGACAATGGCTTCTGAAAGTCTTACAGATAGTAGGTGTAGACAAGTGTTTCTAATATTAGAGAGCTTGGTGTGTCAAAGAGAAAGTCTATATCTAATAGGTCCACTGACCTATATGTTGCACAGCCAACCTAAAATAAAGCCTTGTTAAAATGTCCTTCAGTTTAACCTTTCTTATCTGGTTCCGCATTCTCCACCCTATTAAATATTTTGTAAACCTGAATAATATCTTCAATGATTCTGGTCTGCTCTATGGAAAATGAATTTAGTTCGATAAAGCTTTTCATAGCAGCTCAAAGTATTTCCATTAAAACCTGAAATATGTTGGCAGAAAACATTTAAATCTGCCTTTCAATGTGTGGATATTTGGAGGCCTTGAGGGTATTTTTTTGGTCTAGTTTTCTTTTAATAGAACACTTCAGTTTGTTGTGTTTCATAAGTGTAAATTATTTTGTCTGATTTCAAAGCCTGCACTAAGCCCAGGAAGAAATGTTTTGTGTCTCTCCAGATAATGCATTAAATTAATATTTCTCAGTTCAGAAAACTGACCAAATTTAGGAGAGTGCAAAAGTGCATGCTTAAATTTAATCCTTTTCTTGGTGCTGATAAGGCCAAAATACTGCATGGAACAGGGATGAGCATGAGTATGTACTTCTAATATGCCTTAAACCATGGCAGCCACATAAATCATATCCATGTTTCTACCCATATATAACTATTTCTCCTCAAGATCTCTCCTGAATCAATCTTTGACCAAGAGCTCTTGTTCTGCCCTTTGTAGATATCAGAGCCCCAAAAGGTGGGTTACTTCAGTTAAAATTAATCTTGCAGCTTAATTTTTCATAGATAAGATTTAGCAACCTTCAGTGCATCAAACAATTACAGAGAGGATGGTGGTCAGGCCAACTTTGGTGTATTGAATACAACGCAGAATAATAGTCCAGGAAGTGAGGAACCAACAGGGCATCTGATATTTGAGCATGTCAAGTTTTGCTGCTGGTTTCTAATTGCAGTATATTAAAAAAGAAGAGAAAAATATTCAGCATCTAATAGTGACTGTTCAAGCTGTATGAAATTCCTTCTTCAAGGTTCATACAATCACTTACTTCCAAACAAATTAAACTCCAATGATCTTTCTCTCATACATTCTTACTAAATAGCTTTGACCGCAAGACAGTCTAAGGACACTCATTCTCCTCCATGTGCTAAATACTCTCTCTTAAGCTTGAAACAGTATTCATTCAGAAAGAACAGAGACAATGCAATCCCCCAAACCATTAATTTTTTTATAATTGTAAATTTATAATTTCAATTTTGCATACCCATGGAAGTCTCTCCCTACAGCATTGTTAGAAATGATTTTTTAAAAGCCTTTGCTTAAAAAAACATGAAAGATTAAGCTTTCATTTTAGTAAAATCCCCTCAGGCAATAAATAGGTTCTTTTGTCTCTTGGCCCCGGAAAAAAAATTAAAATGGTTTAAATTGCCCATGGTAAAAGTAACTGTTTCTTGCAATTATCAGATGGTATTGAATAAAAATGAAAATGAAATCATGAAAGAATAAAAACCAGGTAAATGCATATTATGTCTTTCATGAGTTTCTCACGGGTCTTTTGAAGACTCATTTAATCATCTTTCTTGTCTTTTATTTTGATATGATAATTGTTTCATTTATTTACTTTAATCACTTCCATTTAGTTAATTAATTCTTCACTTTCTTTTTGTTTCACTCGCTTAGAATACTTTCCTGTTTTAAAGGGAAGTACCTGTAGTATTTCATAACAGAAAGATTTGGGCTGGGGTAGCTTTTACTGGACTCCAGCTTGTCTGAGCCAGTCTGTCTCAATTCCATTTTGGTTGGGCTCTGGGAGTTTGCATTTCCCATCGGCTGAGAATGGATTTTGGAGCAACTACCTCTGGTGTAGGTATCGACACTGTGAATTTCTGTTTAGGCAGGATGAATCTCAGCTGAGTGTCAGGAACCTTGTCCTGTCCTCCAGAGGTTGTCCTTGCCATGTCCTACAAATGGATCGATGAGCAAAGAGCTTGCAGGGAGGCTGCTACTCCAGAGCCCGCAGAGATCTACAGTTAATTCAGTGGGTGGTGGGCTGGCCCGGAGGTGGGTGTGAAGGAGGGCCATACAAGTTCAGGATCAGAGTATTTACCTCTAACACTGTCTGACATTTAATTTTCCTCAGTTGACCCGCTACCCTAGTTTTCCCAAGGATAATAACATTTATTCTGACTGTCCTGGGTGGTACAAGGTGGAAATGGCACTGTAAAAAATTTCCTGATATCGAGAGGTCTGAAGCTCATGATCTTTTTGGAAACTGATTGGAAACAGCAGAAAAATGTTTTATATTCACAGGAAGAATATGGAAGTTGAGTTTCACACACCAGCTTAGTCATCTTGCCATTCTCCATCACTGCACATATTTTTATTGTTTAATGCCATAACATTAGAGTCACAGAACCATACAGGTTGGTAGACACTTCCCCAGGTCTCTGCTCCAGGTTTCTGCTCGCAGCAGGAGCACTCAGAGCAGGTTGGTGAAGGCTGTGTCCAGTCAAGGTCTGAATATCTCTAAGGATGGAGATTCCACAGCCTCTGTGAGCTCATTTCAATTTTGTTTCTTAAAATTCATCCATAAATGTTTTTTCAATAGCCAGTAGGAAAGCCCTTCTATGTGCAAATGAAGAGACGAAATGTCTAATTATAAATCCAAATTTATCTGCATAAACATACACAATATAACTTCTGAGCTGTGGGGAGATAGAATTGCTAAACCTGAAGCTAATTCAGTTTCAGACTTAGGAGCCTTGATTTTCCATGACATTTTCATGATTATTTGATTCTCTAAACTATTATTTATTCACACAGCTGAACTAGCTATTCATGCTTCCCTAAAAAAGCTTTTCAGGTTTATCTGCTGTGTAAACCTAGGGA